AGGGTTGCCAGTTCGTCAGGGCACATGCCTGGGTTACGGGTTCAATCCTAGGTTGCGGCGTGTGAGGAAGGCAGTTGATCAATGTTTCTCTCTCTTTCTCTCTCATTCTCTCTCTAATCATGTCCTCAGGTAAGTGTTAGGGGCAGAAATAGAACAGTGGGGACTAGCTATAATTATAAGAAATATTAATCATGCTCTGTTAATTGTGATTGTTCTGTTCTTATTAGAGAAAGCACATTCTAACCTGGCTGAGAGCTGTACTCCAGCCAACATCAGAATGCAGTCCATCCTCCTCTTCCGAGAACGGCCCATCATCACGGAAAGATTAACCACCTTGTTGCTGAGACAATCTGGCTCTAGAGGCACCGACCTTTGCCTGCCCTTTGCCACCCCAGCCCACATGGCCTGTAACCTGTAACCATTACACCTTGCCCACTTCCCATGCCTGCAATTCCTACTTTCCCATGTAATCTTTGTCCTTCCACCCAATATGAGCAGCTGGCTTATGGGAAGGGGTAGAGCAGGTTTTTAAAAAAATTGATTTCAGAGAGAAAGGGAGACGGAGAAAGACAGAAGCATCTGATGAGAGAGAATCACCAATAGGCTGCTTTCTGCATGCCCCCGACTGGGGACCAAGCCAACGACCCAGGCACGTGCCCCTAGCGGAAATCAAACTTCGATCTCCTGGTTCATAGGTCGACGCTCAACCACTGAGCACACCAGGTGGGCAAGAGCAGATTTTTGTGGATGACCTGATGCTCTCCCATACTGCTGGCATTATTGGAATAAACGCTCATATATGATTCAACCCTGTCTCAGCTTAATTGGTACAAGTAGTGAAAGGCAGCCCAGACCCATTGGTTCTCCAGTTTCATAAGAATTAAAATAAGAAGAAAAATAAAAAACGATGCCAAATGGAATATTACAAAGAAGCTATTAACTTAGCTGGACACAGGAAGATGAGAGAGAGTAGAGAAGGAAGTCTATGAGGTGGCAGAGCCTAAGGGATTATTTCTGTAGACTTTTATAAGTTTTCACTGGAAAAGTAGAACTACAACAGTGAAAGTGGACAAAGCACCAATAGGCTTTAAGCCTGTAATTTTGGGGATTATATACAGCAGCAATTTTTAACTGGTGTGTTGCAAGAACTTTTAAAACATGCAATACCTGACTATTTATTCAGGAGCACTGACCTCTATTCCCTTAGATTGTCAAATAAAAAAATGACAAGAATCAACACAAAAACAATAGCCATCCAGTGTGAATCAAAATTATATCTATTTTTTTGTCAGAATGGCAAAAAATACATTTTTTTGGTGTACCGCAGAATTTTAGCAATTAGTTTATGTGTGCCACGAGATGAAACGGTTGAAAATAGCTGGTAAGCAGTAATTACATTGTCCTCAGTACAGCTACCTGTTTTCATGCTGATTTACTTCAACAGTAAGTTAGTGATAGAGCTGGTTACCATACAGCTCTATCTGATAGACAGTCTTTCAGAAGAGTGAGCAGATTTGTTCTATACTATTATAGAGAGCAAAACTATGGGTGTACATCACAATGAAGTGAAATGTAGCTCAATATAAAGAATCACGCAGCAACTAGATCTGTTAACAGACTGCAACTAGATCCTGCTTCCACATGAAGTACTGAGATCCCTATTCAACTACATCATCTCAAATATGCAATTCTACATGGCAGGCATAACAGGTACTGTGATATTGTGATATAATTCAAAATATATATTTGGCTTTCATACTGGTTCCTGGAACAGAGATCTAAAACCTTAGAACTTCCTGAGTGATAGGGGTGATAGGAACATCTTTTGTTATTCATAATTAATCTTTCAGCTATACCTGAGTTTATGCTAATGAGGTGACTCTTAGTGGGCCCCTAGCTTCAGGATAGGGGCTAGTTGCCCAGGGTTTAGACCAGGTGATTAGAGCAGCCGTGGGCAAACTACTGCCCGCTTGAAATGAATAAAACTAAAAAAAAAAAAAGACCGTACCCTTTTATGTAATGATGTTTACTTTGAATTTATATTAGTTCACACAAACACTCCATCCATGCTTTTGTTCCGGCCCTCCGGTCCAGTTTAAGAACCCATTGTGGCCCTCAAGTCAAAAAGTTTGCCCACCCCTGGATTAGAGGGTTGGAACTTTCAGCTCTACTCCCTGCCCTCCAGGGAGGGTAGAAGTTAATCACCAGTGGCCAATGATTTAATCCTTCCCGCCTACATAATGGAACCTCCATACAACAATGGGGCTCAGAGAGCTTGCTGGCTGGTGTTCACATCAATGTGCTGGGAGGGCACACCAGAAAAAGACATAAGAGTTCTGCACCCCCCACCCCACCTTGCCCTATGCATCTTTTCCATTTGGATGCTAATAAACCAGTGATAGTAAATTACCTGTTTTCCCGTGTTCTGTGAGGCATTTTAGCAAATTATTGAACCTCAGGAGGGGAGTCATGGGAACCCTTGATTTATATTTTATAAAAACAGCAAGAGCTCACTAGAGAAAATTTAGAATAAACAGAAAAGTGATTTTATTACCCAGAGGAAACAACTGCTTAAACCATTAAAAAAATATGGCTCTCAGAAAGGATTTCCAATAAATGCTGAAAGAACTGGTAGGAAAAAACTGCCAAATATGACCAAATTAATACTCAAGAACTAGAGCTTGCCTTTATATTTAAATTAAGGAAGTGGCCCTTGCAGGTTTGGTTCAGTGGATACAGCATCAGCTGTATATGGACTCAGTGGATACAGACTAAAGGGTCCGGGTTCTGTTCAGCCGGGAGCACATGCCTGGGTTGCAGGCTTGATCCTCCCAGTGGGGGGCGTGCAGGAGGCAGCTAATCAATGATTCTCTTTCATCACTGATGTTTCTAACTCTCTATCTCCCTTCCTCTCTGAAATCAATAAAAAAAATAATATAAAAAATAAACTCCTGCCCTGACCAGTTTGGCTCAGTGCATAGAGTATTGGCCTGCGGACTGAAGGGTCCCAGGTTCGATTCCTGTCAAGGGCATGTACCTTGGTTGCGGGCACATTCCCAGTAGGAGGTGTGCAGGAGGCAGCTGATCGATGTTTCTCTCTCCTCGATATTTCTAACTCTCTATCCCTCTCCCTTTCTCTCTGTAAAAAAATCAATAAAATATATTTTAAAAAAAAACTCCAGAAGGAAAGGGAGCTTGTTTAAAAAAATAATAATAAAATAAATTAAGGAAGTGAAAATTTCACTCACAGAAATAAGAGTGTATCTGTTTACAGGTGGGCTGGCTCAAAGGTCACAAATACCACAAATGTAATAAACACTAGTTTTCCTGTAAGTTCAGTAAGATTACTTTCAACTAGAAGAACAAGTTTTAGCTTTACCTGCTGAGTCAAAAAACTGAATTGCTTATCAGAAGGCAGAATGCAGATTAATAAATGCTATTAAAGAAGCAACATAAAGAAAGGTGAAGTGAGAGAACCACCACTCACCATCCTAACAACTTAACACATCTGCACAGTACCATTACCTTCTCTCCAGAGGCATAAAATGCTTACCCTGTCGCACCAATGGACGACGTTTTGACAAAATTCTTACTCTGGACCAGGCACTGTACCAGCTCCTATAAGTTGTTATATTTATAGAATTTGATGAAACACCCAGTACACACTGCAAGAACAATTAATCATGTAATAACAAGCCCCTTTATTAAGGTATTTTACTGTGATTTGTTTTATTTCATATACATAATAAAGTGGAGCTCAGCTTCAGAGATGTTAAATATAAACAACTAGCCTATAAATAAATGCAATTTATTAATTCAAAAGCCCTAAAATGTGCGTACAAAGGATGTTTTAGTATTACTTATAAGGGCAAAAGAAGTTAATCCTCAATTGAGACTATTTTTTCCATTGATTTTCAGAGAGGGCAAAAGGGAGGGAGGGAGGAGAAAGAGAGAAAGAAACAAGGGTGTGAGAGACACACATCAATTGGTTGCCTCCCAACCAGGGCTGGAAACTGAACCTGCAACCCAGGTATGTGCGCTTGACTGGGAATTGAACCCGTGACCCTGGCCAGGGCAGTTGGTAAATATTTTTAAGCCAGAGCAGTTGGTAAATATTTTTAATATAGATATATACTAATATTTTCATAATACAGTAGTGAAAAACAATACCAAGTGATCCCCTTTTTATAAGTGTATGTGAAACCTAATTGTGTCCTGTGAATGTCATACTTCCATTCTTTAACTGTTGAATTAATATAGCACAAGACTGGACTGACTTAAATGTTAGTTATCAGTTCCCCCAAAGTATCCTTCAAGTTATTTCTGTCCTGAAAGAAAAGATATTTAACATAATGGCCACCAAGTCTGTCAACTGCATTCCCATGCAGGATCCACCTTCCTGCTGAATCTCACTTTACTGTACTGTCACCACTGAGCATAAAGACACAGACAGAAACCTTCCCACTGCTCATTCCTCTTGGGAATGCTAATGTCAGAACCAAAGGAATGACTGCACAGGCTCCCAAAGCTTCCAAACCTTGGGAAAGAATGGCCTGTTCCTTTACTCAGAAGTTCTCAGAGCTGCCAATGGATGAAAATAGATGCTAAGCAAAGAGGAAGGGTTTGTGCTAGCAGCCTCAACGTTCCAGTTCAACCAGCCAAAAGTGCCCTGTTACACATATATTTGCCAAGAAAAGGCCCGGAAGGGTTTACACCAAGTTAGTCAACAGTGGTTATCTTTTAGTATTCTGGGCGTTTTTCCTTTTCTTTTTTCTTTGTGAATTTTCTTCAATGAACAGGATTTGTTTTTGAGGCAAAAAAACAAACACAAAACCATACAATTTTTTCAGTTAGAGATGAAATAATTAAGTAGAAATACATTACTGAGGACCATTTTCTTAAAGAACAAACCAAGAGTAATTTCTGACAAATATGCCCAGTCATCTGGCCTCTAATTCTGCCCTCAATGCCAAGCCTCCTCCTGTCCCATCGTTACTTACATTCTTGGAGACATTCTGTGTCTGTGCAGTAGGACTGGGACTGCCTCAACTACAATGAATAAGAAGAAAGGAAAGTTAGCCGTTGGACTTCATCAAAAATGGATACTATTCATTAGAAAGGTCATGTTTTGTTTTTTAATGAATGCAACCACAGTGTAAATCGTATCTTCAAAATCAGATATAAATGCAGAACACATTGAGGGGCTGTTCTGTTTTGGGGGATTTTTCCTACTTAAAGTAATTTTCAAATATACTGTGATCTATCACAATTCACCTATTTAAGGAATTAGAAAACGCACACCTAAGACAGGAACTCCTGCTCCCATATGTCATTAGACTTCCCAAAGAGTTACAGGAGAGGAGAGGGGCTTATTTCCCCTGGTTGTCACTGAGGGTGGGATTCTTATGATATCCTGAGAAAAGGAATTTTTTGAGACTCTCACAGGAGAATGAAATGATTTTTATTTGTGCAGAATTAAATTTCTGAGTTTTCAAAGTCCCATTTCCCTGTCATGTGGTACTGGTCCACAGTAACTAAATTTTACTTCAATGTTCATTTAAATTGAGTTTGCTTCACCTTAAAAATTTTTAACCCCACTCAAAAACAAAAACAACAACCACAAAAACACACATAAATGAGAAAGAATGAATTCATGGCCTCAGGAGGTCTGACTAAATGGTTGTATTTAAAACTTGGTTACCCATGGATGAAACATTTTACTTTTATGGACTAGATTCAGGAAAGGGGGGAAAGTCCTGCCTGTTTGTGCAAATAAATCTGCTCAAAATTATCACTAATATTTTCTTAAACCAAACTCCAAAACCAACAACAAAAAAGTTCTTTCAAATCAATGAATAAGTGCCCAGTCAATGTCCTCTCTGACCAGACCTCACACAGCTCACAGTCATAACGTTGGTATGAAAATATCTGAGTGTAAGACTCGTATGGCTTTCCTCAAAACATACATACAGAAAAGTATCCATTTATCTGACAAATATATTTTTAAAATTTTTTGAAAAGTTGATTTGAGAGAGAGAGAGAGAGAAAAGGGAGAGAAACATCGACTTGTTGTTCCACTTTTTTATGCATTCATTGGTTGATTCTCATATGTGTTCTAAACAGTCATTGAACCCACAACCTTGGTGCATTGGACAACGCTCTAACCAACTAAGCTACCCAGCCGGGGCCTATCTGAAAAAAATTTAACAAGTGCCTTTTATGTGCATTTTGTTAAAATAAGGTTTTCAGATTTTAGAAGTCTATTTGCTATTTGTTTTCAAATTCCTCAGGAATTCATGTCAACTTTATTTGCAACAACTCAATTCACTGCCAGCTTAAAATCAAGCTATTTTTTTAAATATATATTTCTTTATTGATTTCAGAGAGGAAGGGAGAAGGAGAGAGATAGAAATATCAATGATGAGAGAGAATCACTGATCGGCTGCCTCCTGCACACCCCACACCGGGGATGGAGCCCGTAACCCAGGCATGTGCCCTTGGCCGGAATCGAACCTGGGACCCTTCAGTCCGCAGGCTGAAACTCTATCCACTGAGCCAAGCCGGCTAGGGCAAAATCAGGCTATTTTTGAAAATGAAGATGGAAAATAGATGTGCCCAGTTTAAAATATTCTAAATCAAGCATGTCAAACTCACAGCACAAATATTTTTGTGGCCCAGCCAATATAATAGTATGTAAGAAACATTTTAATAAAAATTTCGTAGCTTAATTTTTACAATATCCTGAAATACATAATTATTAATAACGAACTACAACGTTTGCTAATGACTGATTACTATAATCGTGCTGCATTAATTTCCCTTACGCACCGGCGCACCATTTCTCTACACTAATACTAGCAGTGAATATTTTAGCAACTGATTGCCAAATAAACAATTGTCATTAGTCTTGTACTGACTTGTTTGGTGTACACAACAGGAAATATTTCGCTTTCAGAGACAAGAAAAATAGGTTTATTTGTGTTACGCTTATTAACTTGTGCAATTATTCAGTGTCTGGTAAGTTAATGTTCAAGAAAAAATATTAATTTTTATTAAAATGTTCTATTGTTTTATGTTAACGATTACTCATTTATTTCAGCCTTTGTATTCAGAATGTCTCGATCGAAATAAACCTACATTTCTATGAAAATTGAAGCTTTTGTTTTTTTGTGGCCCACATAAACTTAAACCTTGTTTATTTGGCCCGTCTTAGCCTTTGAGTTTGACATGCTTGTTCAAAATGGTCATCTATGTCAGGCCATGGATTTCAATTTGGGACTTAGGAAACATAGCCATATAAATAGACTCTACATTATGGATTTGAAGATGTGGTAGAGAATCTCACATAGAAAATAAAAACATAAAGTCTCTTAAAACAAACAAACAAACAAAACAGGCCAGCCGGAGTGGCTCAGTAGTTGAGAATTGACCAATGAACCATGAGGTCACAGTTCAATTCCCAGCAAGGCACATGAGGGATTGCGGACTTAATCCCCAGTAGAGGGCGTGTAGGAGGCAGCAATCGATTATTCTCATCATTGATGTTTCTATCTCTCTCTCCCTCTCCATTCCAAACTCTGAAATAAATAAAAACATATTAAAACAGTGACTTTAAAGAATTTTCCTACATTCTGATGTTGCTCAATATGTTCTAGTAGTTAGTCGAAATAGAGCAGTAAGCAAAATACACAAAATCCCACCGTCCAATGATAACCATTTTGTTAACATTTTAGTTAAATGTGTTCCAGATATACATTTTTGTAATATATATATGCATGTACACATAATTTTATAAAATAGAACACTTCATGTTATTTTGCTACCTTTTTGCTATACTCAACAACTAGCTACAAATCTTTTAATGCCCAAACCCAATTCTATATAACTTTTAATGCTGCACAGTATTCCATTTAATTGCATCATTCCCAAATTTCTATATGAAAACAATGCTGCCCAGCTGGCGTGGCTCAGTGGTCGCAGTTCAATTTCTGGTCAGGGCACATGTCCCGATTCCGGGCTCCATACCCAGTGGGGGGCGTGCAGGAGGCAGCTGAGCAATGATTCTCTCTCATCATTGATGTCCCCCCCCTTTCTTTCTTTCCCCACCTCCCCCTTCTGACAAAAGAAAAACAATGCTATGGTGAATGTTCCTATAAATACATTCCTGCATACTTCATTAATCTTTTTAGGATAAGGCATATAAAAATTACTAGAATACTAAAGGTATGTGCATTTTAAGTTTTGATACACTTTCCCCAATTACAGGTTAATTTTATTTTTACTTTTTGATTAATCCTTACCCAAGGATATTTTTCCACTCATTTTTAGAGAGAGTGGAAGGGAGAAGAAGAGACAGAGAGAAACATCGATGTGAGAGAGATACATCAAATTGATTGCCTCCTGCACATACCCTGACCAGGGCCAGGGAACCTGTAACTGAGGTACGTGCCCTTTACTGGAATTGAACCTGGGACCCTACAGTCCTCAGGCCGATACTCTATCCACTAAGTATGATATTAAAATGTGTATTTCTCTCACACACACACAAAAAAAATCAGGCTGCTCTACGTGTGCCACTCACGACAGAAGCCCTTTTTTTAGGAGGGGAATTTTAAAGAAATGACAAAGTACATTCAATTCAAGTATTTCTGCATAATCACACCACTGCAGAAGTTCAGTGTTTCAACTGGGAGATCAGCTAAAACCTAATATTTCTGAGCACATTTAGTCCTTAATGATTAAGCAGCATCTCTACATATTTTCCTACAACATTAACAAACATAATTTTGAGGGACCACAATAATCACATTTAAGCCTCAAGGCTTCAAATAATCAGGTAAAGGCAAGACTGAATATTTTGAAAATATTTTTTAAATGTCTAACACCAATAGGCTGGGCTGCTTTGACCATATGACATGCACATACTTTCCCTAATCCTACAAAATACTATCTGAATTTGAGTTAATTTACTGAACCAAAATCATCACACAATTTATGGGCACTGGTAAGATAATAGTACAATTTATATGCTACACCATACGGTACTGTTTGTTTTTATTATATATAAAGACATATACATAAATACATAGGTATATGAAAGTCCACAAACTTAATGCAACCTCCAGCCAAGCAAGCAATTGAGGTCATGAGGTGGGATGGAGGGAGGGGGTGTGGGCAATAGGGAGAGGGACTTTGATATTTTGCTCTATATTTCTGTATCGCTTCATGTGATAATAATTTAGATATTCACCTATTTTATGTGTTATTAAAAAGAAAGGCCAAAAAAAAAAGGACACACATACACAAAAAAATGAGCCTGACTTTGATTTGCTGTTTTGGACTGAATGTGTGGTCTCCTCAAAATTTGTATGTTGAAATCCTCACCCCCTATTTGTGAGATGGGAACTTTCAGTGGTGATTAGGTCATGAGGGTGGAGCCATCATGAGTGGGATTAGTGGTTTTATAAACGAGTCCCCAGAATGCTCTCTCACCCTCTTCCCACCAACTGAGGATGCAACAAGAAAGTGTCCATCTGCATCCCGGAAGAGGGTTCTCACCAGAACCCAACCAGGCTGGCACCCTGATATTGGACTTCCAGCCCAGAACTATGAGAAATACATTTCTGTTTATAAGCAGCCTGAACTAAGATATTGCTAATATGCAAAGATATATGACGTAAGGGGGGGGGAGTTGTAGAAATGTATACATACTATAATCTCTATGTAAAACAATTTTCTAGAAAGATATACATGGCAGGTTATATTTTCTAAAAATAGCCATAGCACTATTACCAGTCACACAGTCTTCCAGAATCTTGCTACTCCCCATCAAGAAATGAAGTCTATTTCCCCTGCTCTTGAACCCAAGAGCAAGCTTGTGACTGTTACAACCATGAGTTTAGCAGAAGTGTTGTATGTATGTGACTTAGGCTACATCATAACAAGTTGCCAGCTGCAGCCTGGTTCTCTTCCTCCCCAATCCTCTTTGGAACAAGCCACAATGCTGTGATGAAGCCACACAGCCACTTGAAAGGACCATATGTAGGTGT